GAGAAATAATCTGGAAGTAGAAAAGTCTTGGAATCATTCCAAGCAAGGGGAGGAAGCAGACCCTCGAAGTTCTGCCTATCTTTGTATAGAATTTGTCCGTCAATAAAGTTCCTTCGTTAATTCATCTTTGATTCTTTTGATTCTTGAATTTACTCTTTCGTGAACTTGTTTCCAAACACCAAGGCCTTATCATTTGGTATCAGAGCAGAAATTTTTTTTTTTCTGGGAAGTGAATGGCGGCCAGGAAAACTGAAGAGAAGTTCGACGCCATGGAAAAAGAGATCCAGCAGGTTAGGGCTTCGGTGGAGAAGGAAATCGGTGAGGCAAGGACCGAAATTAACCAAAATGTGGCAGAAGTGAGTCAGAACGTGTCGGAATTGCGACGACTGGTGGAGGAGCATATGCGACTGCTAATCGCGACGGCGACGGTCGTTCCACCGGCGGAGGATTCACGATCGGGAGCCGCAAGGATTCGGGAGGATGAAATCGGGGTGGCCCAGGGCGAAAATCGCGAAATCACAGGTCGAGTTGAGGAGGACGGAGAAATCGCGCGTGCTAGGGCTCGGGAGGCGAACGGAATCTGACCGGACTTCCACCGCGACGGTCGTAATGGTCGACCCAGGGATGGTGAGACCGGCGATGGAGACAGAAATCTCCGGGAAGGACGGCGCAGCGATTATCGCGCCGGAGGACCCACCGACGACGGCCGGAACTGGCGCGGAGGTCGAGATTTTGAAGGTGGGGGAGGAAATCGCGCCGGAAATGGTGGACCCAGGCTGAGGATGGATGGTCGGCATGAGGCTGGACGTTTCGGGAATGGTGGCAGAGAAAATAGGAGGCGTTGGGAAGAGAATGAGACTGGAGAGTCCATGGAGTTTTTTGGAACGTACGGGGAACCTTGGGGGGGAGAGGAATTTTCTCCGATTAGGAGAAAACAGCTGGATTGTCCATTATTCAGTGGAATGGACCCAGACGGCTGGTTGTTTAGGATGAATCAGTATTTTTCTATTAATAGATTTTCCGAGAAGGAAAAGCTAATTGCAGCGGGAATAGCTCTGGAAGGAGACGCGTTATCGTGGTTCCAATGGCAGAACCAACGACGACCTTTCATCACTTGGATCGATTTTAAGGTGGCTCTGCTACAACGTTTTCGTTCGTCACATGAAGGAAATTTGTGTGAGCGTTTCTTGGCAATTAAGCAAACGGGAAGGATGGCCGAGTATCGACGGAATTTTGAGGTGTCGGCCACTCCTTTACAAGAGGTGCCGGAGGAGATTCTTGAAGGCATTTTTATAAATGGGTTGAGGGCTGACATCCGGGCTGAATTGCGTTTACTCAAGCCGGAGGGACTTTCCGAAATCATGGATATGGCGCAGAGGATTGAGGAGAAAAATATGTTGCTGCGAAGGGAGATGGGAGGGCCCCGGATTTGGCGTCCTCCAGCGGCGGGATTCACAGCCAATCCGTCTATGGGGAGCACAGCAAATCAGCCCCAAGGCAATGCGATTCAGCCCCAAAACATTTCGAACGTGGAGAGACCGAGAAAGGACTTTCCGTTTCGAAAGTTGTCCGACTCGGAGTGGCAAGAGAAGAGGAATAGAGGACTTTGTTTTCGTTGCGATGAAAAGTTTACGGTTGGACATCGATGTAAAAAAAAAAGAATTGCGAATCATGTTAGTTAGCGATGAGGATGATTGGGAAAATCAGGAAAACGAAGTGGAGGAGACAAAGGGGGAGCCGGAGGAATTGCTACGAACGGAGGTGATTGAGTTGTCATTGAATTCCGTAGTAGGACTTACCACACCAAAGACTATGAAGATAAAAGGGAAGATTGGCCACCGTGAGGTAATTGTTTTAATCGATTCCGGTGCTAAGCACAATTTTATTTCCCTTACATTGGTTTCCGGTTTATCATTGCCAATAACCCCTACAACCGGGTTTGGTGTCCAAACGGGCACGGGAGAGTCGGTACAAGGACAGGGGTTATGTAAGGAAGTAGTGTTAACCATGCAAAACTTGACTATAATTGAGAATTTCTTGCCACTTGAGTTAGGAGGAATAGATGTGATCCTAGGGATGCAATGGCTCGAGACCTTGGGTAGTATGCATGTTAATTGGAAGACTCAAGTCATGAGGTTCAAGGTGCATGGGGAAAGTGTAATGTTGAAAGGGGATGCTAGCCTCACGAGGTCGTTAATCTCTCTTAAGGCCATGATGCGTACCATTCGTCATGAAGGCCAGGGAATTTATTTGGAGATGAGCCAATTGGGGGTGGAGCAAAACATTGGTGTTGAGGAGGGAGGCAATGAGCAGCTGCGGGGGATATTGCATAAACATGCGGCTGTTTTAGACATGCCAGCCGGATTACCACCACATAGGGTGAGGGACCACCGCATAATCTTAGAGGAAGGCACGAGACCAATTAGTGTTCGACCCTACCGGTACCCACATTTTCAAAAGAACGAAATCGAAAAATTGGTAAAAGAAATGTTGGCGGCAGGGATCATACAACCAAGCATGAGTCCTTTCTCTAGCCCGGTCTTGTTAGTTAAGAAGAAGGATGGCAGTTGGAGGTTTTGTGTGGATTATCGGGCGTTAAACAAAGCCACGGTCCCGGATAAGTTTCCAATTCCGGTGATCGAGGAGCTACTAGACGAGTTGTGTGGTGCCACTATTTTCACCAAGTTGGATTTGAAATCGGGATACCACCAAATCCGGATGTGTGACGTGGACGTACCAAAGATGGCTTTTCGCACCCCCGAAGGCCACTATGAGTTCCTTGTTATGCCGTTCGGATTCACAAATGCCCCAGCCACGTTTCAATCCTTGATGAACGAGGTGTTAAAGCCATTCTTGCGTCATTTTGTATTGGTCTTTTTTGATGATATCCTGATTTACAGCCGCTCGTGGGAGGACCATATGGGGCATTTGGACAAGGTTCTAGCGGTTTTGAGGAGTAATTAGTTGTACGTCAACCAGAAGAAATGCCTGTTTGCACAAGAACGATTGGAGTACTTGGGGCATATTGTCTCGAAGGAGGGAGTATCAGCAGATGCCAGTAAGATACAAGCCATGTTGGATTGGCCAACTCCGCAGTCCCTTAAAGAGTTATGGGGATTTTTGGGCCTTACAGGATATTACCGCCGTTTTGTGGAAGGGTATGGACACATTTCGTGGCCTTTGACACAACAACTAAAGAAAGACGCTTTTCATTGGAATTCTGAGGCCGAGGACGCTTTTCAACGCGTAAAAAAAGCTATGACAGAGATTCCCGTTTTGGCTTTGCCGGATTTCTCTCAACCCTTTGTGTTGGAGTCTGACACTTCGGGGTTTGGCATTGGCGCGGTTTTGATGCAACGGCAGCGTCCCATTGCTTATTTTAGTCAAGTTCTATCCAACTGCGCCCGGGCCAAGTCGGTATATGAGCGGGAATTGATGGCAATTGTCTTAGCCATTCAGAAGTGGCGACCCTATTTGTTGGGTAGACGCTTTGTGGTGCGCACGGACCAGAAAAGCTTGAAATTTCTGTTGGAACAGCGGTTGGTGAGTGCGGAGCATCAACGGTGGTTATGTAAACTACTTGGTTATGACTTTGAGATTCACTACAAGCCGGGGAAGGAAAATAAAGTGGCTGATGCCCTTTCGAGACAGCACATGGGGCTGTTTTTAATGGTCCTGTCAACTCCGATGGTGCTAGATTTGGAGGTGCTGCAGGGGCAGGTGGGGTCAGATCCCGAGCTCAGCAAGATAGTGATGGAGTTAAGGGCTGGACACTTTTCCTCACCGGGGTACTCCTTGCATCGGGGGCACTTGTTGTACAAGGACAGGCTGGTCGTTCCTCCGCAATCGCCTCTTATCCCAACCTTGTTACGGGAATTTCATAGTAAGATTGGTGCACTCGGGGGTTCTCAAATCTTACAAGAGGTTAGCCAGGGAGTTCTATTGGAGGGGAATGCGACGGGATGTTGAGACGTTTGTGGCGGCCTGTGTCACATGTCAGCAGCACAAGTCTTCCACCTTGTCTCCAGCGGGTTTGCTATAGCCGCTACCAATTCCGGACCGGGTGTGGGACGACATTTCAATGGATTTCATTGAAGGACTTCCCAAATCAGCCGGCTACGATTCGATTTTGGTTGTAGTTGATCGACTTAGTAAGTATGGTCACTTCATTGGCCTTAAGCATCCGTTTTCGGCCAATCTAGTGGCTGCTACATTTGTGCGTGACATAGTGCGCCTTCATGGTTTTCCGCGGAGTATAATCTCCGATCGCGACAAGATCTTTATGAGCCATTTTTGGAAGGAACTTTTCCGGTTGCAGGGTACCACTTTGTGTCGGAGTACGGCCTATCACCCGCAAACGGATGGACAAACTGAGGTTGTCAACCGCTGTTTAGAGGCTTACTTGCGCTGTTTTGTATCCAGCCATCCTCGGCAGTGGTTTACGCCCCTCCCGTGGGCTGAATATTGGTACAATACGAGTTTTCACGTTTCAGCGGCCATGACGCCTTTTAAGGCTCTCTATGGTCGAGATCCTCCGCGGTTGGTTCCTTTTGAGGTCGGATCTACGGCTACCTCAGAGTTAGAGCGGCAATTATGTGATCGCGATGCACTTTTGGCTGACTTGAAGGACCATTTGGGCCGCGCCCAACAGTCCATGAGGGACCACGCCAACAAGAAACGCCGGATGATAACTCTTGAGGTCGGCGACATGGTTTACTTGAAACTTCAGCCGTACCGTCACCGGGCATTAGCCAAGGTAGTGAATGAAAAACTCGCGCCTCGCTATTATGGACCGTTTCCGGTGCTTGCTCGTGTTGGTCCCGTGGCCTACAAGCTGCAACTTCCCGTACATGCCCGGATTCACCCGGTATTCCATGTGTCGCGCTTGAAGAAGGCTCTTGGCCCGGTGGATAGTCCTCAATCTTTACCTCCCAACTTGTTGGAGGACTTGACATTGCAGGTGGAACCGGAGCAAGTTGTGGATACGCGTTACTCTCCGATTACTGGTTCTCTGGAGGTGTTGATCAAATGGCGCCATCTTCCAGATTTTGAGTCTTCTTGGGAATTGTTTGGGGATATGCAGCGCCAGTTTCCAGCCTTCCACCTTGAGGACAAGGTGACTTTTTTGAGGGGGGGTGTAATTGAGAAGCCTTTACTCAGGCAAGTGTACATTAGGAAGAGCAAAGACTTAGGAAGGGGCAGGGCTTGATCGTGGGAGAGTTATTTTAGCCTTAAGTGGGAACTCTTAGTGTTAGTAGTATGTTTTCTGGTTAGCTGGCAGGGGAAAGGGAAAGGAAGGAAATTGTATAAAAGAGGAGGTAAGCCGAATGGAGAGGGCACGAGAGAAATAATCTGGAAGTAGAAAAGTCTTGGAATTATTCCAAGCAAGGGGAGGAAGCAGACCCTCGAAGTTCTGCCTATCTTTGTATAGAATTTGTCCGTCAATAAAGTTCCTTCGTTAATTCATCTTTGATTCTTTTGATTCTTGAATTTACTCTTTCGTGAACTTGTTCCCAAACACCAAGGCCTTATCACCGTCATCGCATCTGTACAGAACAACAAAATCCAATATATAAAAAAAAAAACGGATAGGAAAATGATAACCCTTGAATGTGGTAACTAAGAACGACGCTTTTGAATTATTTTTTTTCCCCCTTTTCTCTCACGGCTATTTCTTCACAAAATCGCCTGGAAAATATAGAAGAATCATGAAAAAGAGAAAAAGTGCATTTTTTTTTCTTACACACACTAACCTAAATAAATCTTCTGATCCACCAACAGGCAAGCTAGTGGAAATATAGCATTTAAAGAGTCTGACTCCACCATCTACAGGTGCAAAACCATTACCGCAAGGATATGCTCCAAGAAGAGTTGAACAGTGGGGACATAAATATTCAACCCACTCAACATCCCCTGAAAGATTAGAGGATTTAACCATAAAAATGTTTTCAAGAAACCCATTAAGAAAGGGTTTTTGATTTTCCAATATCTCCATACTTTGACCAAGCTTTTGGTTCTCTGTATGAGCTTCAGACACATGATGTGCGCAACAGCCCTTTGCTAAATCGTCCTTCCCAGATGAATCCGATTGTAATCGCAAATTATATAATCTGTCAATGTTACTTTCTTCTTCAGGAACTACGCACACAACATCCGCACCAACTTCCTCATCCTCAAGTTTTCCGAAACTCGATTTCTCATTACAAGGATTTGAGTTCAGTGTAGATTCACCAAACTCAGGCTCACAACTCAAATCTGGTCCAGTTTTGTGACTTTGGCCTTTGCTCGAATTGGGGAAATTGCATTCAACGAGATCATCCTTACAAACAGTAATAGTTGCAAAGCTCAAGAGGCACACACCCTTTGAACATGTATAGGAATTTGCAAAACGAGTGACCAACTTCTCACTTATGCCGCCAAATGAACAGCAGCAAGCTCCAAACCAGTTGTCAGCCACTTCTCGCCAGTTGACTGACGGCATTTCCGCAAAATTTCTACGCATGTCGATGAAAGTTACAAACCAAAACCCACATATGAATTGGAATTAGTAGTTTCTAGTTTGAATGCGATTTACCAAAAAATTTCAGTTGAAATTTGGGTAACCAAAGGAGAAACAAACCTGAGAGGACTTCTTGCCAAGTTAAATTTGCAGTTTTTGCAGTAAAAACTAACTGCTCCACAAGGTATAAGACTCTTTATATCTGAACCAAATTGTAACCACACAAGAAAAAGAAAAATGTTCACATTGAATATGTGATAAGAGAGAGAGAGAAAACAATAGCCAATAAATATGTCAAAGCAAAATATTGTCTTAGACTGAAAACTTAACCAGAGTCACATGTTTCAACTTTCCGGCTAAGAATTAAAAAAGGCAGAATGAGCAGATTTTCAGCATTATATCTTAGCTCCTCATCTTAATCAAAGTACCAATTGACCACTTCTTATACGTTTAAACAAATAACGAATTTTGCACAAGAATTTCCTCATTTATTGTGGAAGACGTGAGATTTGTAAATCTCCTACAACAAAAATCTAATATTTAGTTCTAAAAAGATTAAAAGTAGCTAACGGCATTGCCTTCCCCCTTCTTCCTAACAAAATTTCTCAACTTATCTAAACAGGAACGAAACAGAGTGAATAGCTCAAAAACTCACCAGAATCTACAGAAAGCGACTTCGACGAATTCGAGACTGCAGCTTCTGCGTCACCAGACGAATTGAAAATCGAATCCAAGTTGGAAACGAGAGAATGACCAACGGGGAGAAGAAGGATGAGCTTGACCTCAATGTGATCGTCAAAAGCTCTGAAATTGACCGGAGATTCAGAGTCGACCAAAACTCTAGGAATCGGAACCCTAAGCGAGGTTTTGGCGACGTCGTCGGACCAGGAGACGAGAACCAGTGACTGCGAGAGATTGACATGGACTTGGAGATTCCGGCATTGAAGGGAGGGATTGGTGCGAGAATCGAAGAGGAAGAGCCTGAGAGTAGGGATGTGAGATTGGGCTTCCCATGTGAACCGCCATTTTTGGAGATTTTCCATTGCGCGAAGCTCCGAGGATATTCTTCTACTTCCTGTTTACTAGAGCATTCTCTTAGGTCATTTTGATAGTTGATGCTTAATCCCGCTATTTTTTGTTTTTTGTTTTTGTTTTTGTTTTTTTGCATTTTTCTTCATTACATATTTATATTACATTTTCACCCCCTGCATGAAACTCATTTTTAAGTTCCTTGCAAATTACACCACCATTTTATTTATTTTTTTAAAATTTTTTGTTAAAAGTTTTTGCAAATTCATTGAGATTTTATTCGTTTCACCAATTTGAGTTTTCAATTTTAGTTTTGCTATAGTTAAAAGCTCAATTAAAAAGTCAAATTTAACTTTTTTACTATAATAAAAAACTCTCACATAAACTTGAGAAACTTGAGGTTTTATAAGGAAAAAACCCATTAACCTTGATATAAATTTAAGATTCTAAATTTTAAAATAATCAAAGAGAAATAACCCTCTTGTTGTGGTCAATGGATTCCTAGCAAACTTCTATTTTGCCGCTCGTTCGTTGATTCGAATTTTTAATTTGAGTTGAGATGTGATTTTATGTGAGAGCTTTTTATTGTAGCAAAAAAGTTAGATGTGACTGTTTTTGAGAGCTTTTTATTGTAGCAAAATTCAAATTTTAAACTCAAATCGATAAAATAAACGGGATAAAAAATAATCAGATTCAAGTCGCGTCGAACTGTTTGGAGTATGTGGGCGTCTTTCTATCATCAATTACTTTCGAAAGGAAGTGAGAATTAAAGGAGAAAACTTATTAAAGAATATTGGCGTCAAGATTCGAAGAAAGTTACTCAGTGTAGATCCTCTCCATTAGAGAAATTAAAAAAAAAATCAGGAGAATTTTTTTTAAAAATAAATTAATACTGATTGAAGAGAAAACTAAGAAAAAACAATTAAGATTTTTTTTTCTAAAGTTACTCCGTGACTAGTTTTCTATAATCCTGTTTGAGATGCAATAAATTTATTCAATTAGATCTTTTAACATCCGATTATTTTTGGGTAGAAAGCATCCTGAGGGTTTTTTTTCTTTTCCTTTTCAATGAAAAACACAAATATGGTTGGATTGGTAGAATGGTAATTGTGCATAACTGTTTAGAAATCACCACTACTTATATGATAGTTTTATTTTTATCTAAATTTTTTTGTTAATGTTTCATTTTTCAGTGGCACTAATGTCGTTTTGAAGATTAGAGAATAAGGCGTTATAAAAGTTATAATTTTTGTAATTTTGTACTTAATCACAAGTCAAAGTTAAGCATGTTCGAATCAAACTATTAAATGATCTACACCACGACTTTAATTATTTCGAATAAATACATCAAACTATTCAAGGAAATTTCATAAATTGGCAAGTCATTGATTTACAAATTAATCTACTCTGTTAAGTTATCACAACTATGCTTCATGTGCTTGACCGCTTATACGTCCTAATTTTTTTATGTTGAGTCCAACCGTATAAGGTGGCGTAAATTACAACAAACGAATGAAACAGACTATTGTTACTACGAAAAAACGACAACAAAAATGCTTATATCAACACTATTCTTTTACTGTGCATAAACGACCATGAGTTTTGCAAAAAGAAAGGTAAGATTTCCATTACTTTTCTATTCATCCTCGTTACGCTGCTCTTCTTAGGCGTTACTATTTCTAAACTATTCTTTTTTTTTTTTTTCTGCTACTAACTTCCACAGGAAACTCGTATTTGCTTTGGTAAGTATGAGGTTATGTTACTTAAGGAACACTTTGCCTTTTTTCTCTCTTTAACAAACTGCAGATTTTAAAGTATTGTTTAACTCATAAGTTCAAACCTAAAAAGTTTGAAATAAAATTTAAATCCATTACAGTTGGTTAGGGTGATTCTAATCCTGGTTGGAGAGAGACCATCACCACCATACCGCCTTGAAAAATGTTGGGCAAGAAGACGCCTAGCAAAGGTAGTATGTTAATAGAAGTGAACATGGACAGATACAATATCAGAGAGACATGCATTGATTCCTAAGCATTAGTACCCTTTTTTTCACATAATTTAGTGACATGTTACAATCTTCTTACATGTTAAAAGCAAGAGAGGAGAAGCTGATATAGTACACACATGAACAAAGATTACAAACCTAAATAATCTTCTTCTTCTTTTTTTCCTAAAAGAGAAAGAAAAACAAACCCATCAACCACTTTGACCGCCATTTCCCTTTCTTTTTGACAGTCACTGTATAAGGAGCTTTCACCATATAATCAAATCTCTGATTCACCATTGAAATCCAAGCTGTGAAGTTCAGATGAATGTTTTTTTCTCTTCCTTTTTTTTTTCTTCCCCTTGATTTTTTGAATTGTAAGATCTGCACCAACCTGCATAATCAAACAAATACATCATCACGTCGCTTCTTTGGGTTTGCATCGGGATTTCCTTTTCTCATCATAGCCACAAATTCATCATAGTTGATACGCCCATCCTGCAGATTTTCAGGGAAAATACTAATTAGATTTGAAAAAACCAAACTTTGGGTTGACCAATTGGGTTGCTTTTAGTTCATGAAAATGATCCAATTTAATCTTCTTAAAACAAATCACAAAGTTTTCCTTGCTTTGCTTACATTATCAGCATCAACTTCAGAGATGATTTCCTTTATGTCCCTTCCATCGTGCATGCCGAATTCGCGGAGAGCTTGCTCTAGTTCTTCCGTCGTTATGAACCTAAAGTTATGGCATTCTCACAAGATGTAAGTGAACTTTCAGTTTTGAGCATGAGCATCATTCAAGCATAGCAAATTCCTAAAGGAATTACTTCTAAATATTTGTACTATACAGTCACCCAAAGCAAATCTGATTAATCTTTCGTTTACTTTGAGAATTCGAGTTTTTAATTTGAGTTGAAATGTGATTTTATGTGAGCTTTTCACTGTAAAAGAAAAAGTTAGATGTGATTTTTTGTGAGAGCTTTTAACTGTAGCAAAACTAGAATTAAAAACTTGAGTTGGTGAAATGAACGAGACCATAAAGAAAATTAATCGATGAATTTGAGTATACGATAATATGACTTTAATCTAGTCCATACCCGCTATTATCTTTGTCAAAATGTTGAAAGGCAGTGTAGAGATGTTCTTCTCTGTCCATTCGGTTCATGTGCATCGTTGCCGTGATGAACTCGTCGTAGTCTATTGTCCCGTTGCCGTCAGCATCAGCCTAATTTTGTCGACCAAGTAAATACAACATCAAAAAAACAAAATCACTAGTTAAACAAAAGTTTGTGCTTATTTGTGTAGTTAGGAAGAGAGCTAGGGAGGCAAAGAAAATTACAGCTTCCATTAATTGTTTAACTTCGAGTTCAGAAAGCCTTGTTCCTTGCTTGGCTAGTCCTTGTTTCAGCTCTTCAAGCGTTATAGTCCCGCTGTTGTCGGTGTCCATTGCCTTAAACATCTGTTTCAATCCCATGATTTCTTCTTCTGATAGACATCCCGCAATAACCTGTGCGACATATTTAGGACAGAACTAGACTTTCAGAGACAATCAGCCCAAGACAATCAAATTCTAGCTAGATATCAAGATATAATGTGATGATTTTACGTGTATGTACTCGAATAGAATGGAAACATTTTATGCTTTGCATTAAGAATTATGCGGTTTGGTTGTAAAATAGAAGAATAAATGGTATGTTAATAGCTTGTATGTACACTTGAAAATGATAAAAAATAATAATAATAATAATAAATAAGAATAAAAAAAATAATGTGATGGATTACCCGTAGAGCAACTTTCTTGAACTGATTCATAGCTTTGAACTGTTTGAGCCTATTCAATACAGCATTGTCAAGAGGTGTATCTGGTGCTTCACCATCCTCCTTAATCCATGGATGATCTGACACAAAGCAGAGTTATGCATGTAATAATCTATCAAGTATTAAAATGTTTAAACTAAAAAAATGTGAAATATTGTTGTACAAAATTGTGATTTCTTTTTCAGTGAATTCAAAATTAAGAGAAGACTAATTTTTTGTGACAAAAATGTTTGGGGGGCTCCGCTAGTCCCAGCATCGGCATCGAATAACGCAAGTGTGGGACGGAATTGGAGGCACGGAGTTGGAGCTCGCGGAGCCTCTTAGCTCTACTCTTTCTGTGACTTTCGTCATGTGTTTTAGCCACTAATGTTAGGGGGAACAAGAAAAATGTGTCTTACTTAGAACTTGGAAAGCTGCCAATCTTTGTTTGGGGTCTGAATTCAACATCTTCCTGACAAGATCCTTTGCTCCGGGAGAAATTGAGGGCCATGGATCACTTGTGAAATCAACATGGCCGCGTAAGATTGCATTGAATATCCCATGCTCCGATTCTGCCATATCCAAATTTTGCCTTCTTTACTAATTAATAAATAAAAATATTTTCACTCATGATAATTAATTAAGCTGCTATAGGGAATTGAGTTTGACAGAAGGAATAGGTATTTAAAAAAAGGTAATAAGAAAATAAAAAAGTATTATTCACCTGCCCAAAAAGGAGGAACACCAGATAGAAGAATATACAACATAACACCAACACTCCATATATCCACTTCTGGTCCATATCTCCTCTTCAACACTTCTGGGGCAATGTAATACGCGCTTCCAACGATGTCCTTAAATACTTCCCCTGCCATTATAATAATAAATTTATTATTTGCTATAATTGTTGTTTCCACCAAAAAATAAAAAAATTAAAAAAAAAATCATCGTCATAAAGAAACTATAACTGGGAATTTATAAGCGTTCTCATTCAACTTTGTAATCAATACATAATTAAATATCAGAAACCAGAAGTCAACAAATTAAGGTGTTATGTTCTCAAAACAGATCCAATTGAGTTATATTATTCTATTTTCTAAAATTTAGATTCTTTGAAATCATTTGCTTGAACTTTCCTACAAAACCCAATTCCCAAATTTCTAAAATGAGTTCGTAAACATGATGCAAAGGAACAAAATAACAAGATCTTTCAAACCTTGCTTGTAGAAC